CAATCTGAGTTCTTGCAGCATCGATTTCTAAGTTCATTCATTTTTTCTTAAATGTTTTTATTGATTTTATATATTTATTTTGTGGGGATATTTTTATCTTAATAAAATAAAGATCCTTCTAGGCACAGGGCTGTCTATACTCAGGGTGTGCTGGGTGCCTGAGGGGGCCCAGGGGGTAGTAGGTGCCCATCCCTGCAGCAGCGCCCATACTGCTGCGTCTCTGGGTGAGGATGGCTTCTCTCGGTGCCGGCTGCCTCTTTATCTATTTTTCTTAATATGTTTTTACTGATTTCAGAGAGAGAAACGGCAGAGAGATGTGGATTTGTCGTTCCTACTGCGCTACCCGGCCTGGGCCCAGGCAGGTTCCTCAGTTCCTCTTGGGTGAGTCCGCGGCCTGTGCATTAGGGACTCGGATTCGCGTGACCTTTGACCCGGGCGGGCTGTGGCCGCGTGGGCCCTGGGAGAGCCTGTGTCGCGGTCACCAGTGTGGCCTCCGTGCCGGGCAAACGCCCGGCCACACGCAGGGGATGCAGATGTGGTCCGCGTCTCCTGTTGTAGAAGGAGCCGGAGGGCCATGTCTCGGGCCGAGGGCACTAGGTGAGAGGCACGTGGCAATGTGGGCCCCGGGCGGCTGGGACGCTGTGATTGACAGCCACGATGGAGAAGCCTCTCCTCCTCCTCTCTGTCCCGCACGTCCACTTACCGTCCTCTCCATGAAGTTGCCGAGGAGCCATAATGGGCCTAATTGCCTAACTGCCCCACTTAGTGTCATCTGCTCATCTGCGTCCGGCGTTGGTGTCGGGAGAAGGGTGCTTGAGGGAGCTCATTGCTCACATCTGAGACTCTCGCTGTTCCTTCTGTGTCACACCGTCCAGTGGGCGTTGATGGCCCGTCTTCCCCTTCGTGCAGAATTTCGAGTTATCTGCGAGGAAGGGTAGGTCGTGAGAGAGGTTTTGAGGGGCAGCGTTTCGTACCCCCAGGAGGGAGAGATGTGGATGAACGCGGGGCTGGGCCCACCCAGGCAGGCGCACCCTGCCCCCCTGCCCCCCGAGTTCTCTGCATCTGCTGTGTGTGGCCACCGCCTAGGCCAGGGACACTCTCTATCTTGGACCCAGCCTTGCTCTTGAAGTTGACCTTGTGGCTGCGATCGGTGCACTGATCCCCGTCTGACCGGCCAGGGCCTGGGAGATTTCAGAGAGAAAGGGAGAGAGAGAGAAGTCAATGATGAGAGAGTCATTGATCGACTGCCTCCTGTACACCCCACACTGGGGATCCAGCCCAGAACCCAGGCATGTGCCCTGGCCTCCTGGTCCATAGTGCAGACTGAGTTCTGAACTGGCATTATTCCAATGATGGGGGTGGAGAAGGGGTGCCCACTGCACTTGGGGCTGAAACGCTAGCCTTTGGCACCAGCGGCTTCTGGTGCCTGGTCACCAGACGGTGTCCAGAGGCAAGGCCGAGGGTGCCCCTGGGGAGGTGAATTTTGCTGCTGTGGAACCTGCAGGGGCAGCGCGGCTGCCTCCCAGATCCCCCCTCCCAGCCAGCGCCGTGCGGTGCGTCCGAGGGCCGATCTGCAGCTCCGGGCACGGATCCCAGACGCCAAGGCCCAGAGCCAGCCTCTGGGCTCAGCCAGCCCTTTGCAGCACCCAGCTCCCGCCCGGAGTCCTGACTTCTCAGACGGTCGGAATTCTTCCCTGCAGCCGAGCTGGATGACGGAGGTCGGACTGATTATTATTTTGGTTCACGAAGGAGCTCATTAGCGGGTCAGGAAGGTTACGAACAAACAGAATGAGTGTGAGAGACTGGACTTTGCTTCAGGCCTGTGACCTCTAAAGAGAACACGTGGGCACTGTGGCTCAGATCGCCTCCAAAGCCAGGAGGAGCCCAGAGTAGCAACCACATAGTAGTTCTTCTTCTGACAAAGATGCAGAACACAGCCCTGGCTGGTGTGGCTCAATGGTTGGGTGTTGTCCCATGCACTGAAAGGTTGGGGGTTCAATTCCCTGTCAGGGCACATGCCCAGGTTGCTGGCTCACTCCCTGGTTTTATTCTCACATCAATATTTCTCTCTTTCTCTCCCTCTCCCTTCCTCTCTCTCTTAAAAAAAATAAATCAATAACAAAAGTGCAGAGTAACACTTGGAAAGCCCCTCTCTCCCCCAACCTAACAAGCATCCTAACATAGTGTTATTTTTAACATTTATTATATTTGCTAGGAAAATGCCTAACAAACATCCTCTAAATTGCATGTTTTTCTTTTAGGAAAAAAAGAACACAAATAAGGCGAAAATGGTACAGGAACTCTCCCGTGGGTGGGCTTGAAATCAGAAACAAGGCCAGAGTCCCAGAGGTCTGTCACAAGTAAAACCAAGTAAGTGCATTGTGGTTTGTCCATGTATCGGAATATTAGACACAAAAATGAGTGCAGTGCAGCAAGGGTTGATGGCAAGAATGGGTTTCAGGCCCTGCCTGTGTGGCTCAGTGGTTGAGCAACAACCTATGAACCAGGAAGTCACAGTTCGATTCCCGGTCGGGGCACATGCCCGGGTTGTGGGCTCAATCCCCAGTGTGGGGCGTGCAGGAGGCAGCCAATCCATGATTCTCTCTCATCATTGATGTTTCTCTCTCCCTCTCCCTTCCTCTCTAAAAATCAATAAAAATGTTTTTTTTTGTTTTTTTTTAAAGAATGGATTTCAGTATCCAAGGAAGGAGCCAGGGCACACAATACCACTTCCATTCTTGCACTTCACCTCCAGTTCCCACAGTGGACAGGATTGGATGATGTGTACAGGGAAGCCCAGGGGTAAAATGATAAAAAAAAACCATGAAGTATTTATCGTAAAATCGGGGTGATGGGGGAGGGGGGGTCATAATTATGGAGAGCTCACAGAGGACCCCTCGAGTGCTAGCAGTGAGGTGGTTAGGTACCTCACCTGCATCTCCTCTCTCCCATTTTGGGGGTATATACCTGTACATAGAACAGAGAGTGGGGCTGGGGGGGGGGCAGGCACATAGGAACAGTGTTTTGGGCAATAGGAACAGCATATGCCCAGGGCCCACGGCAATAGAGGATTTGAGAGGCAGTCACTCCGCATAGCTCGGCCCTATTACACACTTACATTGCGTCGCACTGTTTTCCTTTAAAAAACTGAATGAAACATTCGTTTTACGCATTCCTTAATGTCCCTTTATAAATAGATTGGCATCTCAAATGCCATAAAATAAATATAGCACCACTGTGCATCTGCAGATCAGAAAACATGCATCGCTAACAGCGTGTAATTAGTAAATAGCACGATATTAGCACATGATGCCAGCTCCTATTAGACTTCACAAGAGGTTACGTTCTTCTCGGGGATCACAGTAATGTCTGTCATTTATTCCTTTTAAGGCAGTTATTTATCCTTCACTATTTCCCAGGTATCTTTTTATCCAAACATGGCAAAAAAATACATTCCATAATTCACATCTAAACTGCTAGCATGCACATCTTAATGGTATTCCAAGAAGGAGCTAAAAGGAATAAATTACTTCTGAATATGCTGATTGAATAAATTTTGTGTAAACATCGTTTCAAGTCCAAAGGAAGAAATTTAAGAGTAATTTTTGGAAATTATTGAAATTATATTGCAGATGTATTAATTCATTTCTTTAGAGAAAAGAAGTTGTTAAACAGTTGATTGTTATGACTGACAGAAGCAGCTATAGAATTTCTTGTGTCATACTACTGATTTAATTCCATTTTAAACATATGCTGGTGGCAAACTTTTTTTAAAAAAAAATGTTTTATTGCTTTCAGAGAGAAAGGGAGAGGGAGAGAAATAGAAACATCAATGGTGAGAGAGAATCATTGATTGGCTGCCTCCTGCACGCCCCCAACCCGGGCATGTGCCCTGACTGGGAATGGAACTGTGACCTCCTGGTTCGTAGGTCAACACTCAACCACTGAGTTACCCCGGCTGGGCAAAAAAAGGCACAAAAATAAACTTTTGAAAAGTGAGAAAGGAGTCCCAGATCTACAGAATGCACACAGTCTCCATCTACACAGATGCGGAGTGTGAATTCCCACCAGCTCAGTCGTGAACGCTCATGAAATCCCTTCTCCTGGGAACAGAGAAATCGTCGGCTCCACCCCCGAAAGGCAGGTCTTTCCCGAGCCTCCTCGGCATCATGCCCTTCAAGGAAGATTCATTTATTTCACTTTACAAATGGGGCTGATGGCCAGCCCTCGAGGCACCAAAGAGCAGGAGTTGATGGTGAGAGAAGAACAGGCCGATCCGAGGACAGCCTCATGGCTTAACCACACACACGTCTCAAGTATGAATTGGAATCGACCACTGTTCCTTGTTTCATGAAGGAGGTTCGTGGCGTCAAAGCCATCACTCCGTCCAGACTCTAACACCAGGCATTCTGCACGCCCTGGTTAGCCCACGGCACTTAGCAATGTCAGTGCAAAGACCTAATTCAGCCTCACGGGGGCTTTCACCTCACGGGGACCTGGAGGTTCACTGTTACCCGCTTGTGTGGCTCGGTTGGGTGGGCCTCATCCCATACGCCCAAGAGGTTGCTTCTCGCGGTACTGACAGGTTCTGGCGGTCATTCTGCTCGAGTTTTTATTGATTGGAGAGAGAGAGAGACGTGGATTCGTCGTTCCTACTGAGCTACTGGCCAGGGCCCAGGCAGGTTCCTCAGTTCCTCTTGGGTGCTGGCAGGTTCTGGCGGTCATTCTGCTCGCGTTTTTATTGATTGTAGAGAGAGAGATGTGGATTTGTCGTTCCTACTGAGCTACCGGCCAGGGCCCAGGCAGGTTCCTCAGTTCCTCTTGGGTGAGTCCGCACCCTGTGCATCGGGGACTCGGAAGCATGTGGTCTGATCAGTGATTCTCTCTCATCATTGATGTTTCTCTCGTCCGCGCCCTGTGCATCGGGGACTCGGAAGCGTGTGGTCTGATCAGTGGTTCTCTCATCATTGATGTTTCCCTCTCCCTCTCCCTGTCTCTCTCTATAAAATCAATGAAAATACATATTTATATTTTTAAAAGTACGTCCACTCCTAGCTGCTGGTGTTGCACTCAGAGGATGAAGAAAAGGCAGTTCTGCCGAGGAAACCCATAGTAATAGACCAGAGGGTGGAAATTGCTTACTGCACGTAGATAAATACCGTGACATTATTTCTCCTACATGAAGAATTATGGATAATATACTTGTTATTTACATTGAAGATTTTTAGAAAAGATTAATCGAGAGAAATGTTAGCAAATGTTAAGGGCTTGTTAAGGTTTCTGGAGAGGGAAGCTGGTAACGAATGTGCGAAGCTGTCTTTAGGGACCCTCTGGGAGCTGAGTGAGATCTCAACTTACAGTCACTTCTCAAGTGGAAGCTTGGCCTGGAGGTGGGACGGCCGTGAATTCGTTGCATCAGATCCGGGGACGTCCCAAAGCGTTAGTGACGGGCATTTGGTCTGGGGTCTGGAGATTGATGGGTGTTTCTGAGACTTTAAACAAGCCTTCATCTGCTGTCATGGAGAAGAGCCCATGATGCACAGGTGGTCTCAGCAAGGGCACTGCTATCTTATCTTGGTGTGTATATATGTTTATTATTCATAGTATTACAGATACCTCC